CCCAATAGTCAGTTCCAAAATAACAGAAGATACTCCTTGGTAATGAGTTCAGAATAAACATAAGATCTCCCCAATAGTCAGTTACAAAATAACAGAAGATACTCCTCGGTAATGAGTTCAAAATAAACATAAGATCTTCCCAATAGTCAGTTCCAAAATAACAGAAGATACTCCTCGGTAATTAGTTCAGGAAAAACCGTAAACAAGGCAGAGAAACTCACTCAAGTCGACACAGTGGATAACATTAATATACCAGGGTAGGACGATCTTAGTAGACATCAGGATCCAGGACGTGAAACACGCGAAGTCGCCGGCAGAAGACAGAGATCATCTGGCGACGAGGACACACCAGCGCTGTGTTTAAATACGGTTCAGCTAATTGAGCGCAGGTATGCCTCGTCACCGGGAGCGTGCTCCTACGTGAGCAGAGGTGGAGTCGCTGATAGCCCCGGTAACAGCTGCCGAGGTGCCGGGGACGGCCTGATCCGTGGACGTAACACCAGGTCATTTGTTAAGGTTGAAGCTTGCAGAGGTAGGACCCAAAGATGGAGACTAAAGACTCATGGGGAGTAACGCAAGAAAGGAGTTTATTGTAAATAAAAGTGAGTTCACCGGATGTAAGAGAGAGGGGGCACAGAGGCAGAGCAGGTTCTGGACGGGACAGGCAGAAAGAGTAGCGTGGAGCCGGGGACAAAGGCAGGTCAGTATAGAGAGACAGGTTGGGCAGAAGCCGGGTGGACCGGAGGACTTCGGCATACAGGTACAGTAAGTGGACGGGGAAAACTGGTGACAGCATATCAAGCAGATCGGAGAAAGTAGCAGTAGCTACTACTGGACAGGATACCTCGCCGGCGTTGCTGGTGTCTTCGGTACTCACAGGTGAGTGGACAGGAAAAGAGCCGATGGCTCAGATCGTTAACTCAAGCAAGTCGTTCAGGATCTCAAGTTCGGGTGAGCAAAGAGAAGTGTCTAAAGGTCAAAGGGTTTATTTGTCATATGCACAGTTAGGAAATGTGTTTCCCTGTACAATGAAATTATTACTTTCCTGTCCACATGAATGCCACAAAATACAAGTGAAATATAAAGTAGATAAGCAATAACACTAATCTAAATAGACAGTAACACAGATGTAAGGCACTTTAAATCAGAAAGTGAAAGAAGCACAATAAAAATACAACAAGAACACAATATAATGCTACGTGGTAGCCGTGAAGTGCAAATACTCAGCAGAGAACTAGACAAAGATACACAGTATTTATACTGTATGAATACTATTTTACTCAAACTCTAAATGAATTATTTAATATTTTAATATTCTTGATTTTTGATTTTCATGAGTAGTAAGCCATAATCATTAAAATTAAATCAAAAATGGTTGGAAATATTTCACTTCATGTGTAATGTATCTAGAATACAGGTATATGAGAGTTTCACTTTCTGAATTGGTTTATAAAAAAAACTTTTCCACGATATTCAAATTTTGTACGTTTAGATTGTCAATTTGTCTTTTTCTACCTTTTAGCAACTATAATAAGATTAGATTAGATTCAACTTTATTGTCATTACACGTACAAATATAAGACAATGAAATACAGTTGAGCATCTAACCAGAAGTGCAATAACAACAGTGCAGAGTGCGCAGTATGTACAGTATCTACAGTATGTACAGTCAGTACTAATTTACCAACAGATATGTACAATTGATATTTACAGTAAGATATGTAAGGTAATGTACAATATACAACAGACTTTATGGATTTAAATGAAAAGTAATGGATAAAGTACAGTAAACATATAGAACACTAGTGCAACGGGGTGAAATGGAATGAAATAGTGCAGAATAAGAAGATAATAAGTTACATGAGTTAACAGTTCAATAGATGTAAATAGTGCAAAGATAAATATACAGTATCTGCATATGTAGAGCAGTGTTCTGTGAGTATGTGCAAATTAACAAATCAGGATGCTCTCAATGGCACAGGGGTAAAAGTTCACCACGATGGCTGAAGACAGGTGTTACTGTATTTTGTATTACTGTAATCATTTTTATATGAATAAGTGGTTGTGGAACGGATCACCCGAGTTTCCATTATTTCTTATGGGGAAATTTGCTTTGATATATGAGTGCTTTGGATTACGAGCACATCACAATCCAATCTCAGCTTTTAAAAATGTGCCCTTATGGCGGCTACAGTTTTAACTTTTCACAATTCATAATTTTATCTCCCCTTTTAACTGACAGCTGCTGGTCCTCTCTTAAACCAATCAACTACTAACACTGTGTATTTTCCTACCTTGTCAATAAGCCAACACTAGAGGACCTTTTAGAGCTGGAGGCAGGGTGCCACGGATGAAGAGAAGCAGAGTGAGGAGGTGGTGTGTTTGTACAGCAGCTGAGTTATACCATAAACTAAAAGTGTCTCCTCCTCTCTCTAAACATCACTACAAAATGTTGTCACAGCTTTATACACTTTTTAAAAAAATAAATAAAACAAGAAACAAAAGCAAACCACACTATCACTCTTACAAATTCTACCAGTCACTCACATCTCCTTTACTTCGCCTTTCAGTCATTTTATCTGCTGGCCCCATAAAGTACACGACTAATGTAGGAGCATCCACACAGGGCACAAGATCAATATGGCTGACTGGTGATTGATAATCCTATGATAGTCTTAGGTGTGTATTCTCCAGAAAGGGACAAACTGGGGTTTGTGGCACAAAGCTGCCATTTGTGGTTCTGTGGCTCTGCGCCCCTGCTGGGTCAGGACAATGATCAACTCAGATGTGGCAGGTTTCTTAAACAGTTTGAAAGTACACAAAAACAAAGTACTGCACTAATACCTTTGTTGGTATAACTTATGCACACTCAACCAACTAGTTTAAGAGAGAGTCGGTCATAGTTCAGTTCCACAGTAGGTGTCTAAATGCTCTCATGCTAATAGGGACATTGAACATTTATTCATAATTTGAACCAAACTGATAAACCAAAAATAACCACAAACTACTACCAGCAGTTCCTCATCCCTGGAGAGTTCATTGAAAAAACACAGAGAGTACAAAGAGTACAGTGTTGCAATGACTTAAGTACCTTCTTAATATCAAGTTCAGCATAGTATAGCCATGCAGTGTGTCTTTGGGCATCAGTATATCAAAGACACCTTCTCAAACAGCACCAGCTCGCTAAGAAGCCAAGATAAGATCTTTTTTTTTTTTTTTTAAACACAAAATTTTAACTTTCCCACTCATCCTCATTCACACAACCACACCGCCCCACAGATAGCTACACAGACTCGCACACAGTCACTGGCACAGTGAGCCTGCTGCCTGTGTCATTTAAACATGGCCGTGGTCTATGCTGATTAATTGCATTTAATAATTCACAGCTGAACTTTAGTGGGAGTCACTTCAGCAGAGCGATAAATGGGGCTGAGGTTGTGTTTGTGTGTGTGTGTGTGTGTGTGTGTGTGTGTGTGTGTGTGGGCATGAGACGGGGAGAGGACGAACCCCCACAGGGTAGGAAGGCAATTAGTTGCTTTCTCTCTGAGTAGCACACTAAGTTGAGGGGTATAATGGCTGCAGCCATTACCCCTGTGTGTGTATGTCTTTGTTTGCTCAGCTTATTACAGCCTTTAATTAAATAATTTCTAATAGGGCCATTGGAAACTGAAATCTTTATTCATTTAGCAATTTTACTATTATTTAAATCAGAGACAGT